AAAGCCACAGCCAGTCCTCCCAGGAGGAGACGACCCCACAGTCCTCCCCACCACATGGAGACCTGGGGTCCAAGTGGCTCTCTAAGGCACCCAAAGCTCCTTGGCTGGCAGCACAACATGAGCTGTTCCCCAGATGCAGAGCTGGTTGGGAACGGATAGGAATTCCCTGCACTTGCTACAGACAGAACAGCTTCAGCCCCTTTAGACCCAGAAATTCAGGCTGCCCCGAGGCTGCTCCAGCCCTGGAGCACAAATGCAGGCAGATCTGAAAGCTCCTCCAGTTCTGTGTCCATTGATTCTCCTCCTTTAAAGAGGAGCAGTGTTTCCTTAGAGCCGCAGGTCAGCAGAGTGAAAAGGTGTCCCGTTTATTCAGCTGGACGTTTCACAAGGACAACTGCCTTCCTGTCTTCTGGGAATGGCTTTCTGCAGAGACTAACCGAAGGGTCAGTTTACTTCCGACAAAACTGGAACATAAATAAATTCATCTCTGACATCTGACTGGCCCCTTTCCTCACCCTCCCTGGTCCCTAGCTCACCCCTCCTCTGTCTCCTGATCCCCAGGCTCAATCCAGTTGATCTCTCTTATATTAAAGTTTGTCTCCCATATTAAGGAAAAGATCTGACATCCACAGGAGATTTCATGATAAATATTAGCCCAGCTCAGTGGTGGAATGTTGATTCACTGAAATCCAGGGTGGCTTTTCTATCTCCTGAGATCACATTCTAATTTTGCCACTATGCCTCCTCCTCCTCCTCCTCCTCTTCCTCCTTCCTCTTCTTCTGTTAGAGATTTATAGTTATATAGAGTAGTTGGGTTCATCAACAAACTCATATATGCATAGAGTTGGATTTCAGCTCACAGTCCTTCTCTTTTCCTTCCCCCCTCCTGTTCTCTTTCCCTCCACATCCTAGACATCCTTTCACTATTTATTTATATTTGATTGGTTCTTTTTACATATGCATAAAGGTGAAATTTCCTGTGGTGTATTTATATACACACATAACATGATTTTTTTATACCTTTATTTTTATGTGGTGCTGAGGATCGAACCCAGGGTCTCACACGTGCTAGGCCAGCGCTCTACCGCTGAGCCACAACCCTAACACATGATTTTTTAAGAATTCATTCTGCATTGCCTCCCCTCTCCCCACCCCTCCACTCTGCCTCTCAAGCTCCTTCGTGTATTCTACTGATCTTCCCTTTATTTTTATGATATCCTATCCTTCCCTCTCTCTTTCCTTCTTTTGACTTAACTCAAGCAAATAAGAGTAAATATTTGACCCTTGATTTTTTGAGTTTGGCTTATTTCACTTAGCACGATATTCTCCATTTCTATCCATTTACCGGCAAGCCCACGTATTCTATGTAGAAGATTCATCCAGATTTTGGATGAGAATTATCTTTTCATGCAAAATAAAACATTGGAGAGAATGTTTTCTTTGATATCTGGACCCTTATGGTGTCTTTTTGTAGCAGTATTAATGTGATTTGTTGTTTATATAAATATGAAATCAGGGAATTTATATAGAACAAGGCTCCAATAAATAGCTATGCAAATTTTTATCACATAGCCATTGATTATTATTCTCTCCTCTTCCTCCCATTTCTTTCCAATTAGTCTGGGATGAGAGACTGGGAAGGAAATTTCAACTTATTTACCATTTATTTTATATGTATATTTTAACCGATTGAACTTTGGAAGGATTAAATTTTTAGACCAGTTTGTTGATGTCACAGAAAAAAAAATAACTATATGATGTTTTAGTAAAGAATATTTGTTTTTTTATAGTTGAGCACAACTTAGTTTCCCAATTGGTCAGGAACGGTGAAAATTGTTTTCTTAAAATATTGATGGATGTCAGAAAAGCAGAAGCGAGGCCTCCTCTTTCTCTGCTCTGTGGGAACATCGATCTTTCCATTCTGTGAAGAATAAGGAGAGGTAAGTGGGCTCAGGTGACTCCCTGATGCTGCAGTTAATGAAAAGCTCCACTTGCGGCGTGATATTCAGCCTGATTGATCTTCCCTGGGACCAAAGCAGGAGGAGAGGGGACTATTTGATATCAAAGTTCTGGTTCAATTTCGGGATGTAGAATGACTTGGGCGCCTGAGTTAAAAAAAAAAAACAAAACTCAGGTTCATCCTCCATCCTCCACTCCCTGAGCCTCCATCACAGAACAAGAGGAGGCTCCTCCACAGCTTGGATGCCTGTCCCCAGGGTGTGCGGTCCTTCCCTGACCTCCCGCTGTCCCTTGCTGGCTGACGCCCACTGGGGTTGGCCACGGAGAGACCCCCGCAGGAAGAGGAGGAGCTGCCAAGTGGGGCTCAGAAGGCCTTTTAATCCCGGGACTGCCGCTCGCTCCGGGAAGCCCCGCCTGCGGCTGCTGCAGAGCCAGAGCCGGAGCCGCGCCTCTCCTCCCTCTGCCCCTTGGTGGCAGCGGCTCTCTGCTGTCACTCTTCTGAGAGTGCCACACACTTGGTGGGGAATGCTAGGGTTTGGACGAGGGTCCCCAGCGGGCGGGCCATGTGTTACAGGACCAGAGAGTGGTGCTATTGGGAGGTCATAGGACCTCTACGAGGTGGGGCCTTAAGGGAGGTCCTGGGGGGTGGCGTGACCCTAAGGGGGGGGGGGTGATCCTGGGGACCCTGGTCTCCCCGACTCTCTCTGCTTCTCTGCTTTATATGATGTGACCCCTTTGCTCTTCCTCCCATCCATTCATGAGGTGCTGCCAGAGACCCAAACTGCCTGATCTTGGACTGGACCCTCTAGAACTATGAGTCAAACCAACCTTTTCCTGGTTAGAAGTTAATTGTCGCCGGTATTTTTGTAATAGTAAGGGAAAACTGACTTAAAACGTCTGAGTGGATTCTGCTTTCTACCTTGACAAATGCAGTAGTGTAATTTTAAAAACTGAATTAATATCACATTAGGTTGCTTAGGAAAAATATAAGAAAAAAGTATTCTTAGAGATGTGGCATCCTTGTAAGAGTAGACAGTTGGACTTTTTCCCCTTCCTGTGCTGGGGATGGAACTCTGGGCCTATGTGCCCATTAGGATAGCGCTCTCCTGCCGAGTTACACCCGCAGCCCCCACTGAAAGTGCTATTAGAGTGGCAAGAAAACTGACATTTTTAGTGTTCTCATTCTAATTTTTTAGAACTGAAAGTTGAAGGATATGATGGATTCCAGCTCCAACTGGAATGCATGTGGGACATGACTAAGATGAAATTGCAGAATGAGAATACAGCACGTGGCAAAATTACATTGAAATAAAAGACGCACAACCTCGCGCACAGGGTTGTGTGTATTTGTGAAGAAGAAAAGCAAAAATTGCAGGTTGATATTTTGTTGTTTCATTCTGGGTCCAATTTACAAGATGCCTTCCAATTTCTGTTTTTATCTCACTCCAGGCAATTAATGTGTCAATCAAGATTTCACATTTATAATAGAAGGGAGATGAGTGGAGGAGAGGAAGGGGGGAGCAGGGGGAGGGGAGAGACAGGAGCAGGGAGGAACTGCAGAGTGAAATTGAGGAATCGTGCTGTGTACACACGTGAATATGCCACAGTGGATTCCACCTCTGTGTATATCTATGGAGCATGAATTAAAAACACAAAAAGGGAGAAGACCAGCAGAGTAAAGGAAGCAGGGGGAAGGAGCAGGGCAGTGAGAGTCGAAGTACTGAGGATCGTAATGAAGCAAATTATATTCCATACACCTACGACGTCAAAATAACCCCACTACTGTGCATAATGCATTAGTGGACCAATAAAAAGATTTTACACTTATATTTTTTTTCTGTAATGAAAGAAGTGTAATTTTCATAGTTCTTGTGCAAAAGTAATTTAAGCAATCTAATTAATAATTCGCGAATGACTTCTTAAGATTCTTCTGTATGATTATGACATTTGAGTTCATTTTAATGAAGAAAAAGGCTTTCAGGAGTGATTTGAAAGATGATTTTATGAAAAGAAGACCAAAAAGTACACACAGCTTTTATTCCTTTGAGATACCTTCTAAACATTTAGTAACTTATTTCTGGAATCTCGCGGTGGTACTTGCAGGGAGTGTGCCCACCTTCTGCCTGGGCTGTGAGTTTAGGAAGCACCGGAAGGGGAGGACCCTGTCCCTCCTGTCCCGGCCCTGGCACACGTGACGCTCAGGATGAGCTGCTCCTGCAGGGAACCCCTCCTCACTACCCATGAGGGGGCTGCTCCTTTGCAGGGAAGGCTGGAACTACATTTACAGTTAGACTTCTAGAAAGGCCAGAGCTAGGGTGAGGGCAGTAAGCATTCGTCTCCGGTGCAAATTTTAAGTAACGGTAATCAAGATAAATAATGTTTTAATGCAATATTAAAATAATAAAATGCACACCCCCCAACAAAACCCCCAAATCAAAACCCATGATGAACAAAATAGCAAAATGTTGAATGAATTCAGTATCCATCCCGTACTGAGCTTCCATTCTAGTCTGAATCCCAGCGAAGCCCCAGTGTGCGCGTCGCAGGAGTCCACGCTGCGGAGGGAGTTCTCTCTGCTCCATCTTTTGAGCAGAACAGGAACCGATTTCCTCTGTATCCGCTGCTTTCCTCTTTAGATGAACCGCCCAGTGATAGCGTCGGCTCTGAGCACCTGCAGCCAGAGGAGTGCGCGCGAGGCGGGGGCTCTGCGCCCCAGCGGGGAGGAGCCTCAGGTGTGTGGCCACCGAGGGCGGCACGGGGGCGTGGGCCGGGCTGCCGACTCCTCCCAGGCGCGCGGTGCCCCTGCCACCTCCTGGGAGCGCCTGCCACCTCCGGGGCGCGCCTGCCACTACGGCTAGGTGCTGGAGGCGCAGCCCAGCGCAGAGCGGTGGAGGCGCCCGAAGGCCGTCGTCCTGCGAGCGCTGCAGCGGGACAGGCGGCTCCTCCTGCGCCAGCCGGCTGCGCGGGGCGAGTGGGAAACCCAGAGCCGCGGAGCGCTGGAGCCCGGGCAGCGCAGGGCGTGAGCGCAGGCGACCCGAGCCGCCGCGTCCTCGCAGCCGGGGGCGCCGAGCGCAGCGAGCATGGCCTCCGCCGCCCGCGCCTTCTTCCAGGTGCTGCTGCTGCTGCCTCCGCAGACCTGGAGCTGGGCAGAAGCGGGGAATCCACGTAAGTTCAGCGAATGCTTTGCTACTTGGGCGAGGCTACCTGGATAACTTTGTATTTTCATTATTGGTGATATTTGGACTTGAACTTGCAGGGCATGCTCCTGAAAATAAAGAACCTTTAAGGAAACCTAGTCAATTGCAACCTGAAAAATAGAATTTTTATTTACAAAAGACTTTCATCTTGTGGAGGGACTTTAAAATATATGATGAATATTTGACTTTTTATCTATATATTTGAATGTACATTGAGAACGTTTTTTATAAAACTGAGAGGAACGTGGCAATAAGGGATTAGCCTACAAATGCTGTCATTTATTCTTTTTTAGGATTGTAGCACCTCAGGAATTAAGTCTAAGAGGGAAATAATTTGGCAGACATTACATCATATTGCATCAATTTAGATGTTAGCAGCGTACAGTTTTGCAGACGTTGGCAGCTTCAGAGTTAAGGTGCTAATTAACTCATGCGCTACGGGGATAGAGCACCTGTAGGTGAAGCTAAATTTTAGAACACAAATTTAATAATCTGCCGCTGCTACTAAGGGACTAGCTCGAGGGCCGTGCCTTGCTAGGGAACTTCATTTCTCATAGTAGAAAGTTGTTGCTTACAGACAAAACTTAGTCGTTTAAGTGATCTTGAAAATTGCACTTCTCTGGATGCTAATATTTTCCATTTTTAAATTTGTCATTGGAAGCCTTTATTATAGAACGGGCTATATTTGAATACGATGCTAATATCCCGAATACTTCAGCAGAACCCAATGCACCCATATTTTATCATACATTAAAATATGTTAAAATTATTTGTTCGGATTAAATCTCTTCCTAAAGGATATTTCCTTTCTTGATTAATTTAAGCCAGCCCTGAGATTACATTTTAAAAATATCTTCCTCCTTGTAGTAAAATCACTTTAATTTTCTTTGATTTTTCTGTCACTGGAATCTCCCCAGTCTGAGTCTCCAGCTTCTCCTACCAAAATCTCCTTTGAAACGAGCAGATCAGTGCTAGTGGCTATGCTCAGAAATTTAGATTGCTGCAGGAAAGCCAGAGGTAGCTTTCAGCGGTTCGCCTGAGCCACCCTCATGAAGTTTGTCGCAGCTCAGTGTTTTCCTGCCCTGAAGCCTCACGCCAGGGCCATTCGCACACACTGGCACCGGTGGCCTGAGCACCCTGCATGGCCACGCTGTCCTGCTCCTCTAGGAAGGTGTTCCTGATTCTTTGGTCACACGTTGTACCGTGTTTCAGATTCAGCTTCAAATTGATTTCGTGGAAAGTCTTTGTCAATAGAACAGGGATGTTTAGGTCAAATCAAACTCCTTAGGTCCTGCAATGGAAACCGCTGCTTTGCTTAAACAAATCCAGAAATGAGAAATGAACTCTACAGAAAGGGGAGTAAAGCAACCCAGCCCTGGGCCGGTAGACTGCAGCAATAACGTCAGCCACGAGAGGCCGCTCTTGCCACTCACTAGCGGGCTTCAGAAGCCTCCCCTGGAGGAAAGTCCAGCAGTGGTGTCCAGAGGAGACCCTCGCACCGGCTTGCCTGGTTCTGTTCTCGGGGCGATGGCATTCAGGCTGCAGGATTAGTTGTTGATGGTATTTTGCTTGGAATCCAATGGAAGATTCAGAGTCAACAGGAGTCGGGCTGCTCCCTTTCACCGTGAGCATCCTTCTTGGAAGAGGAGGGGGCACCGAGATGAGCTTTGAGGAACCCACGTGCGAATGTTCAAAACGAGCTCCTCACTCATCTTGGTCTGGCCGGTCCCTGGCCGACACCGAAAACCCCAGGACTAGAGTTTTTTCAGTCTCCTTTTGTTGAGAGTTTTAAGATTTTCATATTCAAAGCATTTTTATTCTTTTTAAATTGCCTTTTACAAAGAATAATTGTTCTAGATAAAAACTATGTAGCTAACAAAATTGAAACCATCTTGAATACCAAGAAGAGAACGGTGAAGACTCGTGCCAGGCTCCTCCTGCAGGCCCTGGACTCTCCAGAAGCAGAATCAGCACCACCAGGGCAGCCAGGGCATGAAGTGAGGTCCCGAGAAGAGCCTTTTAGGGGTTCTGTATTTTTCACTTGAATATTAGTTTACCTGGCAAGTGAATGGGGAATTTCCATGTTGGGAGGATTCTGCCTGAAGGGGGATTAGTTTCTTAACTTCAATGATGATGGGCTTGCTTTCTTCTTCCTTCTTCTCTTTCTTTTCCTGTATTGATCCTGTATACTCTCTGTGTTTCTGGAGATGAAATATCTAGAATGGATTGCATTCTTTGCATTTTTAGGATAGTTCCTGATACTGTAAAATCTCTGAATGGAGTCACCTGTTCCCCCCGGAACTCATACATGGTTATGACATTTTGAGGACAGACCCCCAGAGTTCTGCATTGTCTTTATGTCCTTTCATCTCTTGTTGGTTCTCTCACTTGCTACCAAGGACATGAACACACCTCTGCATGTTACAATCACCCTAGTTCTGTTCCCAGTTCCCTCTGAACACCAGGACACTGTGGAGGTGGCTGTGCAGGAGGATCTGACTTCCATTGGACCTTACATTAATCAAAATTGGTGCCTAATAATGAGTCTGATTGTTTTTCAGCATTCATATTAAAGTTGTTTTCTTGTCTTGTCGTTTTCTCTCCTGTCTAAGCGTGGATGAGAGGTCACTGATGGCTCTCACCCAGCACCCAAAACAGGAGGAAGAATGCAGAGAACAGTGCAGCTCTGGGCACTGATCTCAGGGGTGTATAATCAAATGGTTGGGTGGATTTTATGGAAGTGCCTGTAACTGGTGAAACGCTGAGTAACAGCCTTCTGTGTGGCTTTTCAGTGGACTCATTTATTCATTGCTTAGCTACACACACTTTTACTTTTAATTGTTTCTTTTTTTTCCTGTGTAGTTGTTATTTTTTCAGGTTCACTAGCCTGGTTGGGAGAAGAAGGGCAAACCTAGCACAGAGTTTGTGGTTTAGGAAGGTGATTCATTCATTAAGCGATAATGTTTTAGTCAGCTTTTTTGCTGCTGTGACTAAAAGACATGGCAAGAACAATTAGAGGAGGAAAAGTTTATTTGGTGGCTCAAGGTTTCAGAGGTCTTGGTCCATAGACAGCTGGCTCCATTCCTCAGGGCTTGAGGTGAGGCAGAGCATTATGGCACAAGAGTGTGGTAGAGGATAGTAGTTCACATGATGATCAGGAAGCAGAGAGACTCCACTTACCAGATGTAAAATATGAACCCTAAAGCCACACCCTACCTGCCTTCAGTCATGACCCAGTTAATCCCATCAGGGGATCAATTCACTGATTCGTTCAAGGTTCTCGTAACCCAGTCATGTCTCCTCTAAACCTTCTTGTATTGTCCCACATATGAGCTTTTGGGGACACCTCACATCCAAACTATAACAGATTTAGTGATATGTGTTAGGAAGAGTACCTCATACTGTAGGTGGGTAATTATTTCAGCAGATGCTTCAATTTGGACCTTTCAGTAATACCGTTAAGAAAAAGAATCTAGATAAGTAACAGACTGTTCAGTTTAGTGTCAAATGGGGCACCATAAAAGATAGAGTCCATATTGTCTTCATTCTTTTCCTCCAAACTCCATACAGACAGACTTTATGGAGCATAAGCAGTCCATGTAAATAATAATCACTTCTGAAAAGTGAATTGACCATGAAGAAACCCAAATTACTCATTTTCCCTCTTCTTCTCTCCTCTTTTTGAACAACTCTGTCACCAACACATTCAATGAGGCTGAGCAGAGTGGCATCCACACTGGGTAAGGAGTGGCCAAGGACCCTGGAGCCGGGTTCAGACTCCTTCTGCAGGGTGCAGAAGGTACCACAGAGTGGCAAGGGTGGGTCTTGGGGAGACAGTGCTATGTGACCTTCAGCACATTGTCACAGGCTGAGAAGGGTGTGGAGGGAGGCTTTCTGATTACAGGAGGCTAAGAAAGCTTAACAGCTAAATGCTAACCATGATACTGCACCGGATGCTTGTTCTGTAAAGGACATTATTGGGAACTGGTGAAACTTGAACAAGATTTGAGGATTAAAAGTTGGACTTGTATCCAAGATGACAATCAAATTTTGGTTAAGTGGGAACTGTCTTTGTTTTGGAAATGCATGTTATTCAGGGGTGATGATATATATATATATATATATATATATATATATATATATATATATATATATATATATATATATATATATATATATATATTCATATAGCTCTGTCTTCTCCATAAATTCAAAATTGTTTCAAAATTATATGCTTATTTTAAAAAAATCGTCCAAAATGCATTTAAAGTCATCATGGAACAATAGAATGACTCAAAATAAGTAAACTTAAATTGACGATTTTACCTAGAAGCATGTAGACTGAATATCAAGAGGATAAAAAAATTAAATAGTTAGTGAGAATTAATGGTACATTTACCCATGGAACAAATTAGCCTACATTTCTGAATGACAAAGGCACTTGGCACTGGGATTGTTCCCCCATTCTTTCCAGGAACATTTGGTGGCTGTGACTCCTACATCAGACTTCTTCCAAGTACTCTCTAGGACTGGGCTGTCTGAATGAATCCCTTGGACTGACTGGATAGTGTCTTCTGGACCCCCCCCCCCCCCCCCTTGTGATATGACTTTTCACTGAAAGGCTGATTGCTGCTTGGCCTGTTTTTATCTTTGTTGCCTGGTATTGGAGAAGTTGGATCATAATATGGCTGTACTCATGCCAAATGTGTTCTCTCTGCATAAAGATATGACTTTTCCACTTAATATATAAAGTATAGGATTGTCTTAAATATCCTTTCTCAAGAATTTCATATAGCTGCTAAGTGTGGTGCTAAGTATGGTAACTTTCAAAAGGAACTCATGAAATCCATTTCCCACGGACTCCCAATTTGAGTCTCACAAGTCCGATTTTCTAGTGAGTGAAGTGTATGTCTAGTCTGATTCAGATTTCATAGTGAATCTACTACTCTCATGATAAAGATGGAAAAA